GCAGCTATTCCCCTATGGCGTTTATTAGACTTACGGCTTTTGAAGGGGATTTGTACCAGTTTTTGTTGGGTTTGAGGCCATTTTTGAGCTTGGATATTCTTTCTGTGACTTTTGACTGTGTAATAACGACATTTAATCATAACATTTCTATATACTACCGGTGTCACATCGACCAAAAAGACCGTAAGTACATGGGATAGACGGACCACTGCTGATGGGGCCACACATGCCGGCGTGTGGTCATCGGAGGCCCATGAGGGCTCGACATAGGCCCTTCATGGGTCGGTATAGGCCCGGTGGGTCCAGTGCAAGCCTATCAGGGGCCGGTGCTGACCCAACAGGGCCCAGTGACATATAATGTAAGGCCGTCTAGGGACGTTGAGGGCTCATGGGGGCCATATAGGACCAATAGGGACCACATAAGCCAATCAGGGGCCATTTAGGCCAATAAAGGCACTTCAAGGGACTTGAAAAGGTCATTCAAGAGCTGTGGTGGGCCCATGAGAGGACGGCACTGGTCCAGCAGGTGCAGTCAGGGGATGTTGTACGGGTTTCTCAGTGGCCCATTTGGGCATATCAGTGACCAATTTAGACCCAGCAGTGGGCTTTGTAGACCTATCAGGGGCTGGTGATGGTTCATCAGGGGCCAGCGTTAGTCCATCGGGGCACGGCATATGCCCATCAGAGGTAATTGCGAGCCCACGCTGAACAATGCTGGCCCTTCAACGGCCCCATGGATCTACATTGACCCATGGGCCATGATGTGTCATGTATGCCCCTATGACAGGCCTACTCAGACCCCTGATGGACGTTCCCGGCCTCTGATGACCCTATGCTGAATGCTGATGGGGCTCTAAGAGTCTCCAATAACCCTTCGTCACCCCATTATTACCATACGCTGGCATTAGGGACCCCACATCAGCCGCAGGGCAGTCCGTACCATGACAGCATGTCTTTTCGGCCGATATTTCATCGGTAATATTTATCAAAATCATGATTTTATGGTGCCATTATATAGGTAACAGTCATAAGAAATATATTTCAACTCGAAAACAGCTCGAAACAGCATATAATTTTAAAGAAACCCCTCCGAAATCCAAAAGCCTATTCGGGTCCATAGAGAATAACTGCGGTCCCCCGCAATTTCGTCACGAGCGTCGGACCAATCAGCGTCGAGTACCGCCGAGCGCTGATTGGTGAATTTTCCGCTAGCGTGTAAGTACTGCTCACGGAACAAGAGTTCGTCGACAATCCTCCACAAACGTCTGTCACCATTTTTCATAATGCTTAACAGCCGGAGCGTACCCCCCTGAGCATACCTATACATTGTATTAACCCCATTTAATGTTGTTGTTATGTTCAAAACCAGTAGCAAGCACACTCCCTGAAACGTGAAATAGTGATACAAATTACCCCACCATGTGATACAACTCACCCAAGCCATGGGGCAAGTTGTATCAAAAACATTGTTCTATTCGGGAGACCGTAGAAGAAAAACCGGTAGGGGTAGTGGAAAAGTTACTTTGCACAAAAAAGCAGAAGAATCAAGGAAGGGGATAGTATGGATATAATGAGTTTATCACAGATAGTTACGAGGTTATGAGTCTCGGAGTAAAAACTGATACAACCCACCCCACTCTCCCCTACTGATAATCCCGGGATTTCCACTAATATTTCCCAAAGGTTGAACGTTCTTCAAAATCATTCTGCTCGTCCTAGTACTTGGCTACCTCATTACATAAACATCTTTCCGAAAAAAACGCGTACATTTGCCGGCAGCTCGGCAGCAGCCCCGACACCTCTGTAATAAGGTGACAGAAACCGATGACCGCGATTAGCACCGGTGCAGCAGCCCCTGCGGTCCGCAGGGGCGGACATTGCGCGGGAGGCAACGGTATAGCTACGAGGCTCTGGCGTTTATCAGACGATCACAATAATCGCTGAAAAAATAACAGGTGATTGCAATTCGATATTTATGGGTTTACGATTTTCCTCAGTGGCGTAGCCAGGTGGGCCCGTGAGCCCCCCCCCCCCCGCCCCATCAGGTTCAGGGGCCCATCGGATTATTCGGGCCTGAGGGGCACTGCGGCGCCAATTGGCCACTGAGGGTCCACGTTGGCTATATTTGGACTCAGAAGGGCCCCACAGGGCTCGTAAGAACACCTCATGGGCCCAAAAGTACTAACATTAAGATCTCCATAAGGGCCCCAAGCCAGCCTCTGAGGGCCACTTGCCGGCCTCTGGGGGTCTTAACCGGCCTCTAGGGGGCCAGCTCTAGGAGCTGCACACCCGCCTGTAATGGCCCCACACCCATTTCTCTGAGGGCCCCTATAACGGCGACTGTGAGGGCCCTCACCGGCGCCCCTGAGCGCCACACCGGCGTCTCTGAGGGCCCCACACCCCTAACTCTGAGGCCCTATACCAATGCCTTTAAAAACCCTACATGGGCGGTTCTGAGGGCCCTTGACAGTTACCAGCGACCCTGACGGCCCCACACAGGTGACACGGAGGGTCCCAGCGGCGTCTGAGCGCACCATGCCAGTCTCTGAGAACCCCACAAGGCTCCTGAAGGCACCGGTGACCTCTTGATATCTTCTTGTCGGCCTATGAAGGATCCGTTCCGTAACAGCAGTTCTGAGGGCCCAACGCGCGCCTGTGATGGCCCTAAACCAGTGTCTCTGAGAGCCCCCACACCGGCGCCTCCAGTCCGAGGGCCCCACATTGCCATATCTGAGGGCCCCACACTAGTGCCTCTTAAGGCCCTATATCGGCGGCTCTGAGGGCCCAACATCGTAGCTTCTGAAGGCCCCACAAGTGCGCATGTGACGGCCACCCTGCCACCGGTGACATTTGAAGGCCCCACACCGGCGACTCTGAGGGCCCCATCAGCGCCTGAGCCCGTTCCGGTCTCTAAAGATGACCCCACAGGATTTCTGAAGGTACATACCACCGGCCTCTGATGACCCTTTGCCGGCCTCTGAGGGCCCGTCGCCGGTCTCTGGAGCCCCCTGCCGGCTTGTAAAGGGTACGCGCCAGCAGCTCTAAGGGTCCGACACCCGTGTACGACGGACCCACACCATCTTTGCAACTTAACGTTTTTTTTTCGCCCTTCTTCTTAAATCTAAATTTTCTTTTCTTTACATCTTTATTTCATGCCTTGTAAATTGCGTAATTGTTTTATTTTTAGTAGTGAACTACTGCAGAACAATTATTTTCCTCAAGCAGAGTTATTGAGGGACAAAACCATTGGGGGTGCCCGGAAAACCATTGGGGGTGCTCATTTGAGCATTGGGGGTGCTGCAGCACCCCCAAAGGTATACAAATCGACACCCATGGTCTTCTAAATCTTGTACATCTTTTACTACGGAGAGCCGGGAGTGTGAACGTATTTGACAGAGACGCTAAATCTCGCACGGTTCACCGTTTATATTTGGCAACCGGAATTAGCTGTTAAAGAGCCTGATAACTGACACCATCCCGAGGGGACCGCTACCCACCGAGAGGTTCAAAAGGCGCAGCATTCCACTGGAACCAGAACCGATCGATTGCTGTGCACCATGCACTGAGTGGCAGACGGTACGGCACACACTGTTATTCGAGTTGCAGGCGTGTCCTAGACATGAGCCTCGTTTAGCAACGACGGACGTACAGGGTGTTTCACAATAAACGTTACTTTTGATAAGCTTTTAAGATGACCTCAACTAATCGTATGCCCATAAATTATATATTCATTTTGTTGCAAATTCTTTCGGGTTTTTTATCCTTACAAAAACTATGACGAATCATCAACTGCATTCTTTATGTACGTGCAATGTCCACACCATCAAAACGGGTCAATTCGCGCTTCAGAGTCCTTCACAATGAATGCTGCTTTTCAAACGACGATGTTTCAGTGACATGTATTACATATGGCTCATGAGTATTACCACATGAGACAGCAGCACAGAAGGACTGATGAACATAGGTTTAACTTTCAGTTCAGCACCCTTCACGGGTTCTCCACTATGCCACCCTTCCGTCTGACTTTTTCAAGCAGATTTTCTGGGATCGCCGTCCGGCCAGGAGGCGGGGCTGGTCTCTTGTTTCCCGTCTTCTGGAACCTTTCTACCACCCGTTTGAAAGACATTTTTGACGGAATATCCTTCCTCCTTTTAAAATGGCTACCGAAACTCCGTCGCACTGCGGTCAGACTTCGCAAAGCGCCGTAATGCATGACCACCCATACCGCCTCATCATCTGTACACGGCGAATTGACCCGTTTTGACGGTGTTGGCATTGCACGTCTTTACAGATGGAACCGTTGACGGTTTGTAAAAAAAATGATATAAGGACTAAAAACCGCAACAAATTTGCAACAGAATGCATATAAAATTTACGCGCTTACGAACAAGTAAGATCTTCATTTAAGCTATTCAAAAGTAACATTTATTGTGAAACACCCTGTAGTATGGTAGGAACCCACATTTCGTGTTATTACACTAGAAAAGGATGTTGTTGCATTATATTATCAGTGGTCACCTTTGACGTTTTCGCTAGTCGGCGGCAACTCTCGATGATTCACCGTATTTCTAGACAGCACCGTTTCAGAATTTGAATTTGAAGCTAAGTATATAAACGTACCGTTTCATTCATTCGTGCGTAGCTGGGCATTGCCAGTGATATTCGGATGCATTGTAAGATATAACGTGAGCATAAATGTAGGTATCATAAACCCCGTCCTTGTTTCTCATGTAGGTGCGGATGAAAGCGAAACGACCGTGTCTGCGTCTGCACATTGTGCTGATGGTCTGCTGGTATACGAGTTCGGAGGTTAACCGTCAACGAAACATTGCTTATTTCCTATGAATAAAAACAGCTTGCGATTTATGTTCCTGAGAGCTGTAACTTTATTTGAAACATCGAAAATTAAGATAATGTAGACTGTTGGCCGTTGGGTCACAGCCACCATTGCCAATACAAGAGGCAGCCATTGCTCGACTGACTACCTAACGGCACCACACTGGTCCCGGCCGCCGACAGCGCCTGTTCAGTTGTTCGGCCGCCTGTGCAGCGGTCTCAGAAGAGCGCGCCGTGACAGGCCCACTCGAATGGTGCGGGTGCGAGCGGCCGGCGACGGCAGCGGGGGCGGCATCCGCGCGCCCTCCGGCGGCTCAGCCGGCCCCGCGCCGCCGCCGCAGCCGTCGGCGCTCAGCCCCAGCGCCGTGTCGGCTCCATCGGGCTCCGGTGTGGCCGCCTCGGCGGGCTGCCGCGGCGCCGAGTCGCTGCCGCCGCCGGCCGGCCGGACGGCGCTGTGGTCCGCCGGGGCCCTCTCTGCGACCAGTCCGGGCCGGCTGGGGAAGCAGGCTGTCGATCCGCCGCCGGGCGGCAGGGCGGCGCCCTCGGCCGCTGAGCGCGCAACGCTGCCGGCAGTGCCGAGTCGCGGCGCCGCAGCACACTCAGAGACGGCGCACGGCGGCACCGTGGCCGCTCTGGCTAGAAGGATCTGCTGCCGTGTGTCCGCGGCCACCGGGGACCTGTCCTCAGGCCCGGTGACGCTGGACGACATCGGACCATCACTGCCGGACCCGACGCCGCGCCCGTGGTGTGCCGCGCTGTTCCGGAGATCAGCTGGAGTCAGTGCGGCGGCCCGGTGCTGCCGGTGGGAGCCCGAGGAGCCCGTGTCGTCAGTCCCGGTGCCACAGTTGCCGCTCGCAGCGGGTGTCGGACCGCAGCCGGCCTCCGACGGTACGGCTGCCTCCACCGCTGGCACCTGGCCGCCGCTCCCAGCAAACGATCTTCCAGTGTCGGTGTCCAGGACATACGGTGCATCGTTGGTGTGTTCAGCATCTTCAGTATCACCTGAAAGCACGTAATATGCATTCACTCGGCACTGACAGATATATGCAACGCACAGCTGACTTCAAAATGATGTTCCACTCCTCAGAAGCTATCAATTATTTACTGGAACGCTAAGTTGAGGCCGTTTATCGCGCAATCTAAGCGTGTCAATGGGAAGTGAGCGTTGGGTCATAGCATATTGGCCGTTTTTACGACGGCCATCTGGTACACATTTGGTGCAGATTAGGTGCAGATTTGTTCAAATTAGGTTCAGCGTGTCTCTTAGTAGCTATCAGATAGGGTTGCACTAATTGTTTATATGCCTTTGTCATATTATCAGAGAGTATCATCGATTAAAACACTGAAATAAGAAGATATTTGCTGTAAAGGAGATTAGGTGCAGATTTGGTCAAATTAGGTGCATTCGCCGGATAGCCCGTCGTGAAAACGGATATTGTGTCGCTTAGCCCGTGTGATGCGGCACAGCCTACCACTCAAGGCAGCTGATTGCCTGTGAAAAGTGGAACACCAAGTTCTGTATTCAACTGTACATACGTAGGGGAAACCCAGGAGGTATTGGCCCCCTGGAGGTATGGGCCATCGCAGTTTTGAAGAAGTGTTGCGTATTTTTACACATTTGGCCGCGTAAACTGGTAGCAGCCATTCCGTTATACCTACAACCCACGTGATTTCCGAAATCTTCCTCGGTCTTCTTTGGCAATGAGCGATAATAAAGTGTTTTGCCCTCTTCGAGTAAATTACGGTACATACAGAAAATTCGTGATAAATTTGAACCAGGCTCGTTTTATTATGTCAGACCATCGCTGACATAAAGTTTAACCCGCGCACCGACGGGGGTCTGCGCCAACTTAGTACCGACGGGGGGGGGGGGCGGATGACCGCCCCCCCTGAGATCTCGAGAACGAAGCAAGATAGCGACAAGCGGTAAACGGCATCGGATACGCACGGTCAAGATCTACAATTTTTACTAAGGTCATTTTCAGGTCAGGTCAAAGATGACGTCACAGGGGTCGAAAAAGTCAAAATGGCGGCGCTAAATATGGAGAGAGTTTTTCTCGAATAACTTTCGAATTAGTCAAGATAGGAACAAACTAAGGGCATCATCGTGATCCTCTCGTCAATCCGCATCGAATGATATATATGTTGACCTCGAAAGGTCAAGGTCAAAGGTTGACCTCAGGTCACGTGACCTCGAGGTCATCATGTATACCATTCGATGCGTCTTGACGAGCTGAACACAATGAGACCATCCACGCGTCTGTATCTTGTTCCTGTACGGAGTTATTGGCCAAAAACATTTGGTGACCTATGATGACGTCACATGACCTCACAGCTGCCCAACAGCAAAACAGACCTCAAGGTAGTGAAGGTTGATCGTATATGAAGTCATGTATGGTATATGGGGCCATTCCGACCCGTTTTAGTGGTAAAAACAGGGAGTTGATTTTTCCCCCATTGACTTATAATGGGGAGGTCGCGAAATTGACCTGACCTTAGGTCACCGATATCAAAATTCCGAGATATACAAATTGTAGCTACTAATGACCTAATAACATCCTGCGACTTTCAAAGGCCTCCGACATCTACTGTAGCTCTGGCACGGTGACAAAGTTGCAAAAAAGTGACTTGAGGTTGGGTCATTCAAAGTGACCTGGTGACCTGACCTTGAAAGGTAGGAGGTTCAAACTTGCACACCATGTGTAAAATTGATAAGGGAATAGTCATACCAAATTTCGCGGCGTAGCGCCGCGGTTTTCCCGCTATTCGCGAAAAACCTCAGGGGGGGGGGGCGGATATCCGCCCCCCCCCCGTCGGTGCGCGGGTTAAAGCATGCAAATTTAGACTGGGTATAGACAATTTGAAGCTTTTTGGCAAGATTATGAGCTGAGATGCTACACACATTCTGGCGTCCTAACCGTGAGGTTCGGGCCACCGACCCCCGTTGATCCTAAATCAATGAAATGATGCTTTCATTAAATGTCCTCTTCAATAAGTTTCATTTTTGTCACGCAAGGTCGAAAATTTAACTACTAATTTCATTCGAACAGAAAAATATTATTAATCTTATTTCGTGGAGCATGATTGAATTTACCCAAAGAGAAAGACATACATATGTGCCGTAGTGACCTCCATGAAGTAAGCTGTTGGCCGCTCATGCGGTTCCTGGGCTCTAAGAGAGATCAAGGTATACCAGCTACGAGTATTGTTCTCATTGTCGAGAAAAGAATATGAAACATGGCACCGGTCCATACCTCACGGGCCGTGGCCCATACCTCCCGCCTCCCATGTCCGTGAAGTTAGCGTCACCGCCTCCCGGTGTATTTTGGTGGATCAAAAAAGTGCATGATTTATTGAAAGTTATCTCGAGACAAAATAGTTGGTCCCAGATGCCTAATATCAGGCACACTTAATAGGCGAAAGGAAATTTCACGGACACAGAGTGAAAAACCGGGTCTAGCCACTGCCCACTGGAAGAAAATTGTCTTTTTACAAAACCGGCCCATACCTCCCGGGTCTCCCCTACTATCCTGCTAGTCGACTGTCAATAACCACTACCGGTTCCACGGCAGGCACACACGGCACTTCACAAAGTATTCCCGTCTCCGCGGTGCGGTCACAGTCCCGTAACTGACCCGAGGGCAACGTCCGGGACTGAGGGGCGGCTGGTGAGACGGTCGGCCAGCCGCGCCGCGCCCGACGAGCGTCCTGCCTGTCTGCCAGCCAGCCGCCATCTGCAACACCATCCGACCAAATCAGACCAGACCGGATCAGAGCACACGTCACCACCCTACACTCAACAGTCAGACCAGACCAGACCAGTTGGCAGTTAATCAAGTATTGGGTATTTACTTCCAATTTTTCTGAGCATACTATTTGTAGGCGTTATTTGTATCTGAACATGTTGCTCGCCTGTCTATTGAAAGAACGTAACTGTTATTTGTGATAGACAAATTCACAGTTTCGTTGATAGAAAGCAATGTTCATTACATAATGAGCATGCAGGGTGGTAGGAATTGTTCAAGTTTTTTTTTTTGCACATATGAGAGGCTTGCCGGTAAAATGTGTACACAAAAATGTGTAGCTAAACCTGTCCATATCGCTGGACTAATGCGGTGGGTTTAGTAGCTAGCATTATGTGACGAAATTGCGATGCAGCGAGCAGCTCACTACAAATATAGAACACAGAAATAGACCAATAGTCACACTGATCTATAACAATCTATTAACGAAATTAGCGTAAGAGTGATAAATGAGCAATGTGAAAATTGTGAAATGAGTTTAGACCGATACACCACATGTCTCGCCGTCCACCCACCAAAGTCCACTTACCTCCAGCGGGGCCGAGACCGAGCGAGGGCCGGAACGGCTGGGTGGCGCACACGGGCAGGCCCTCCTCTGCTGCCAGCGGGGACGGCGGACCGGCGCCTCCCAGGAACAGATCCTCGCTGCTGCGGCTGGCTGCCAGCCCCTCGGAGCTGACCTCCGAGCCGGGACTGTCGGGCATTGCGGCGGCGGGCCGGGCCGGAGAGCGGCCGCCACTCGCCACTGAACCGCTGCCCAGACTGAGCGACGGGCTCGGCGGCTCCCGGTCGGCAGGGTCACCGGCCGGACTGCCCTGACCGCAGGCCGGGGAGTCTGTGTTTGATCCCGGGCTGCTGTGTCCCGCGTCGGTCCCCGGGTTGGCACTGACGTTGACCGGTATGGTGCACTTTAATTCGTCCAGCGGTTGTTCCGAACAGAGGGCTGCTGGTTGGACTGCAGCCGCCGGGGCAGGGTCAGTGGCGACACAGGGCCTGAACGGAGAGAGGTCCAGGGGAGCAGTCGCCTCAGCGACGGCGGGCGACTCGTCATCCCGAGCGGAGCCGGCCAACACGCACCGGGAGGCCGCGCTCGAGTCTCGTGGCACCGAAGCGCCTCCAGACGGACGGGACAGCGAGTCGGCCGGCACCGGAGGGACAATATCCGCTCGGTCCGACTCCGTATCACTCGGGGAGCAGCTGTAGTCACTCTCACTCTCGCCGGAGAAAAGGTCACCGGCGCACTCGTCTGTCACATACCCACATGACTGATCCGACTCTGTACGCGTTTCACGCACACCATCCGATTCGTCGCTGCTCTGAGCTTCCTCGCGATGGCTCGTTCTACCCTGGTCTCCGGTGATTGCGTTTCCCTGAAAGTCTGCAACGGGAGCGGCTGGAGTAGGGGCAGCGGCTGGGGCAGGCGGGTCCGACGAGCTGGCAGCGGCCAGAGCAGGCGGGTCCGACGAGCTGTCTGCCGTCAGCGACAGGAGCCTGGCATCGTTGAGCACATCGCTGTCCGTCTCCGAGCGTGACTGGTCCGTGTTAAACTCAGACACAGCGGCCACTGACGGAGACGGCTCTTCCTCCTCCAGTACCGGGGACAGACCGCAGGTGCCGAGCCCATCCTCCAGCGCCGCCGGCGGCGTCAGCGGGTCCCGCTGGGTGCTCTGCGCCGGCCCGGACCGCTCGCCAGTCGGCCGGGAGACGGTGACTGACGCCGACACCGCGGAGCCCGCGCTGGGGCCGAGGTCGGCAACGATCTCCACCTCCTGCGACGCGGTCGGCGTGGCGTGTGCCGCCGCGCCGCGGTCGGACACCGTGTCCAGCCCGCTCGCCAGCAGCAGCTGCAGCCGCTGCTCGTGGCACAGCGGCGGGATGGGCGACCGGGGCGACGGCTCCTCCGACTCGGTGGGCGGAAATTGCTGCAAACAAACACAGGGCTCCTGGACCTCAAGACTAGCTTAACGTTCATAACGTATCCGGTATCGGTAATAAATGAATGATATATTAATTGAATCGGCATAATAATTTCAATAATGGTAGGTATTCTACTGCTTCATTCATTAGTACCGGCCCCGACGATCATAATGCTGGCCTGCAAAATGGTTCGATTTCCGAGCTTGCATTTCTCCACTAAAATGCACAATCCAACCCGGCCGGTACACTGATGAAAAAAAAAATTATGTTGTGGTCTGTCGAGCAGCATGATTATGTGATTATAATGAAATGAACCAATTTAAGCATGGAGTTGGCAAATACGACGCACAAACAATTTTTTCATTACCGTCGGCAATTTATAATAAGCGTATCGTGCTGAGCTTCTAACAAAAACATGTTCCCTAAGAATAGTACTCTCAAGTCTGTTATAATATTCTGAGATCGACGCATACGGTGAACGACTTACCTCTCCAGCGTATGGTATCTCGCCGCTGATCGTATGTGCGCCGCCGACGCCCAGCAGTGGTTCACCCGTGGCGTCAGCGGTGTCCCGTCCCTGCCGTGAGGGCGGGGAGCCCTCCAGGCCGTCCACCAGTCGGCCGATGTAGCCGCTCAGTCCGGACTGGTCCGACCGATGGGTCGCACTGTCCGACCCCGACTCGTCGCGGCCACCGGCAGACGGCGACAGAGCTCTCTCCTCGCGGCCCAAAAGGCTCTGCTGAGTCTCCGCCGAACTAGGCGGGATGACCGACGTTGGGTCGTCAGCACCGGTCTCCGAAAACCGAGCATCCTCTATACGTGGGCTTGACGGACGAATGCTCAGTATTGGAGTGGATACGTTTGGCACGATAGTAGATACGTTTAGCTCGATTTCGGCGCGACTTGACGGACCCATCTCTTCTGCTGTCTGGCACGACAGTTGAGTGTCCGCCCCTGCCAGACTTGCGACCTCAGACTCGGTTCGTCCAGTGAGCACACGGGTCAGGAAGTCGGGCCTGCCGTTCGGGGAGCACGGCACTGTGTCTGCCTGGCTGTAGCGGATCTGCGAGCCGGCGTACCGTCCGTCTGCGCTGCCGGACTCGGACGGACCCGGGGACCGCGGCTCGCCCGGTGACCAGCCCCGCTCGGCGTGACTGGGGCGCAGGCCCGGCTCGCGGCTGGAACACTGGGCTGCCAGTGCGGCGGAAACCACCTCCGCCAGGTGACTGACGGTCCGCGGAGACACAGGGTCGGCTCTGCCGCTCTCCGGAGACGGACTCGGATTTCGCGAGCCGATGGGTGAGTCGGTGTGGTCCGGTGGAGACGGTTCAGGAATGTTCGCACACATGGCCGCAGGGGAATCATTTAGAAATGACTCACAGCCGTTCAGGCATTGGACACTTGCTGGATGTGGTGATGGTGACTGGTAAGGTGAGTCTTGCGACAGATGATTCGTTGTATGCGACGAAGATTTGTTAAATCCATTAGCACCGGCAGGTTGTGACGCGGGGAAGATTCTCAGGTCGGAAATACGCGTCTTTGCCATCTGTTGGGACAGGAACATCGCAAAGTCATGTTCTGCGCCGCTGTCGGGAGCTTCATTTACTCGATCTATCCATAAATCGAGATCCGTACTTTTCCCAGCGATATTCAGCTGAGATTGGCGATATTTCTGACTTGAAGAAGACGACACCTCTGTATCATCAATGAGCTGCTTATCACCCGGATGTAAGTCGCCAGGAGCGAGAGCACACGCTGCCGCGCAAGCCTCAGCTTTTTCTGGCCCAGCCTCAAAACACTTTGCGTCCATTTGCAACGGCCATCTTTTCTCGTCGACACTCTCTGTTTGAATTGGGTTGCCTTCATTGTCGGCACTACATTTCTGACCGGTTCTACGTTCCTCACCTGAGCCCCATTCCAGACCGGTGTTCCGTTCCTGAAACTGAGCAGTGCTTTCATCCTGAACAGCATTCTTTCCCTGATCCGTGCATTTCGCGTCAGTGCCCTCTTCCTGATCGGCATCCCCGTTCTGGTCGATGCTCCCTTCCTCGTCAGCGTTTCCTTCCGCCACACGCGGGATCGTGCGGAGCCGCTTCCTGGGTCGCTCCAGACAGAGTGCCTCCAGACTGAGAGCGACATCCACACTGTCGTCCCACTCCCACGGACACTGGTACCGTTTGGCCGGACTCCGGTCCACATCGTCGGCGCCGTTGCCGACGACACTGGTAACCGGCTGACTCAAAAAACGCGTCGCCCGAGCCGTGCACACTGGCACTTCTCGGCAGATTTCGTCGGGAAAAAGAGACCGGACAGGCGTTATAGTATGCCACTTATAATCGGTTTGAATTAAAGGCATTTCTGATGCTACACAGCAGGTATTGGTGACATCGTTAGTGGTGACGTAGCCCGCAGGGGGCGATGGTAGTTTGTCCGTGAGGTTTGCCCCTCTCAACATTTCGGTTGCGTTATACTTCGGTGTGCTCGTTGGCAGGGTCACAGGTCAACGCAGCTTGAGAAGGGTAGTGGGCACCTCACAGTCCTGAATTGTCACCCTCACTCACACATTTATGGGCCTGGTAACCAGGCTGGGCCATGCCTGGCTGAGTTGCATCTGCCTCACCGATAGTCTGAAAGTGAAGGGAATAATAGAAACGGTTAACTATGCTGAGATAGCAATGCCAAAGTTAAATCCACGCAAGTTGAAGTTACAAACAAGGTGCTTTTCGAATCGAAACAGTTTCCCGCGCCCCACATAGGAAATTAGGAAGTATATATGATATACCCCAAGATTACTTTTATACCCAGGGCACTAAAGGATATACCGGTTATATAGCCTTGGATATACCCATGACTGCCTTGGGAAGAAGGAACACAAACACACCGACAAAAAATTAAGCCCTGCCTTGAGCCCTGCCCACCAACTGCCCACCCGAGATCGCCACTTCATTCATAACGACATGCGAATGTTTAGCCACGGTATATGCAAGACTGCTGCAGTTTTTATACGGCAAATCGCGTAGGTGTTAGTGTGCAGCTGAAGAAATAGACACAATTTGGACACACCAGGTAAACCAAGGCCAGGTAAACAAAGCGGCAGGCGGAAATCAGCGAGGTCAAGGTCGCTGCACGAGGTCAGTTATCAGTAGCAGAAGCCACAGAAGTTACAAAACCTTTTGCAAATTTTATTTCATTGAATTTGATAACAATAATTTTTAAATATTTTAAACTATATTTCCTATTGTGTTTTTACAGGAAAGCATCGTACATTTGCAGAAAAATACACCTGTATGCTAGCAAAAAAAAAACAGATTATAAAGCACTCGTTAAAGTCGACAGATACAACGCACTTTAGTCTATTACTATTGTTCAATAAAATAATATAACATAGTCGTCACCAACAAGCACCAATTAAAAGCTAGATTTTGTGCACTGGCTAGCGCTAGCCGCAAAACGGCTTATGTTTGAACACAACTCATGCACGATGTGGCACTTGCGCAAATATACAATAGACACGTGCCCAAGCACTGCCCAAGAGTTCTCTATATACCGTGTGCCCAAGCACGTGCCCCGCCGGCCCCGCCGAGCAGCGTGGGTGAATGGGTGCATCCTTTTTCAATTTTATTTGTTTTGTGAGAGAAAAGGTGCTTGTATGGATGCTCGGTACATCAAATCAGTAACAGTATACACTTGAACTTTGCGACCTTTACATTTATTGATAATCTAGTACCTACTCTCCCGTTATTTAGTGCTTTACCTGCTAACAAACGTCAGCATCAAGATCAAGATGAGCTCAAAAAGGAGGAATGTTGAAGTTATGGATGCTGAGAGTGACTCTAGTAGCTCTGAATCTGAAGAAGATCCTGAGCTGCAAAAATATGTCGACCAATGCGTGAGTTTTCCCTAGATGGGAGTGCATGCCTGGCAAGTAGGAGTGCATGCCTGTGTCCGTAATTGGCACACGTCCTGAAACGCAGCAATTCAAGTTCAAGCTTACATGCCCCACACAAGCACAATGATATTGAACATTGTAGTGAGGCTAACCAGACATCATTGAAAGTGTCAGTGAGCATCTAGCGACACATTTAAACCCCAAGCTAGTCAGCTCAGCGATGTCTTTCGCAGATTACCTAGCTAATTAACGGCTAACCATCACACTTAGATTGGGGGCAGGGTTCCAATGCTCCTGGCTGACTCATACTCGGTTGGCACTTTGTGGCCTTGGTTGACTTTTATTTAAAATGCTTGAGTAGTTGAAGTTCATTTTTTTTTTCAAAGGGTGTTTGGCTCCAAGTATGTTTTCAATGTGTTTTAGCATGTGTTTTAGCCAGCGAACCAGCTAAAACTGAACCTGAGAAACTTGAATGCCTCATTTTACATGTGAATAATTCCCGATAAATTCCATATGACGTTTTGGAACTAGACATGAGAAGTGAGAACAGTGTTGACGTCATACTGTGGAACTTGCAGTGCAATGTTATGTATAACCATCATGGAAAGAATTGCTTACTCGACTCGGGCCTCAGGAACAGTGAAAAATGAAGTTTTCCCAAAATTTGTTGGGCGCCAGCTGCCACCAGTGACGTCATCATAGTATGCTCATTTTTGAAGACGCAATTTCTAGGTATTTACTGAGCACAATTTGAAATCGATCATTTTTACAGTAAGAAATTCTTAGCCAGATGCTGAAGCTGCCAAAACTCACGTGAGAGCTTCGATAATGCACCTTGGAGCCAAACACCTTTTGGAAAAACAAACATACTATGGTTAATAAAATGCTAGAGCTGATATTGAATTTAGCATTCGAGGATTTGGGATAGAAACTAAAAAAAAATGCAATGGAGGCATCATTGGTGGTAAATACTGGCCAAGAACAACTCATAAGACAAATGCTGGTTGACCTGAACTGGCTAAAATACCGTACCCACATTGACATGCATCATGCATTATCATGCATCATTAAACTTGTGTGCAAATCAGAATCAGGACCCCAAAATACTTCAGAGAGGGGAAGACTCATCTGCATCACTTCAAGAAAGTCTATCAGGTCTTTATTTTCCTGACCAATTGTTCATTGACCTGACCCCATACCCAGAACTTGGAAGGTCAGCCAATGATCTAAGAATTCAATATCGGTTATCAGCTGCTTCCTCTTGACTGAGCAATACGATTTGCTTCCTATTGACTGCTGAGCAATACGCTGTTTTTTTCCGAGAGGCTCTATCTCGATCAAGGGTCCAGACCGAGCGAGCGGTTGGGAGAGAGTCTGACCGAGTCCGCCGTCCGACAGAGGTTTATCGGCCCGTCTCCCGTATATGTCAGCCCAAGTGCCAGCCGCAATGAAAACGCCGGGATCATTCTGCCTCACTCGCACATTGAATAACAATGATCAGCGATGAGATGAGACTCTCACAAAAATGCAGTAGTTGCGTAGACATCTGTCCGCGCATTTCACGTTTGTTTCATTAGCAAGCTTCGAGTGAGAGCTTTCCAGGCATGTACGCCCTGATTCGTTGTATTGTATTGTATGTACAGGGTGATCCAAAAAAAATTGGAACCCCTAACTTAAAATGTCTGTAAGTCAGAAAATTTTCACTTTATTGATAAGTTGCAAACACCATTAGAAAGAGCGTTCAATTCTCTATAAAACCAAGATGATTGTACTTACTTATCATTATAAATATTGCCCTAGACATATGCCTATAAAATTTGTGTCACAAAACTCCGTGAAACGGTTTTGAACATTACGCCCAAATCAGTGATTAACGGTTTGCTGTTCTGACCATGTCGCTTGTTGGAGGTTCATGAATGAAAATAGCTCATTCACGTGCTATTGTAAGGAAAGGAAAGGCTGACGGCCTGCTGGGACCAGTTGTCCCAGAGACTGCTGGCCCGCGTGGTCGGAGCTGTCCCCAAGCAACTGCAGGCCTGCGTGACGGCCCACGGAGCTCGCGTTGAGCACATGCTGGGATGAATAGCGGAAGCTAGGACGCGTGTATCTGTTCTACTGTGTGCTTCTGTTAAACTTTTATGAAATAAAATTGAATTTGGATGTGTTGTTATTCGCAAAAAGACAACAGAAATAGTGCTAGCGGATTTCAGCGCATTGTTAACATTTGGCGATTTCGTTTCACTCAATTTTCTGACGCTCATTCCAAAAGCTTATAGTGTGTCAATGCTTCACAACATACATGCATCAATTTGACGTGATTTTATGGAGGATTTAATGCTCTTTCTAATGGTGTTCGCAATTTGTCAATAAAGTGAATACTTTCGGACTTATAGACATTTTAAGTTAGGGGTTCCAAATTTTTTGGATCACCCTGTATATTGTATTGTATTTACGATCGTGGGCGATCCACACATGGCGTGGCGATTACTGTCCCGAGTCTAAGTCGGGTATATACATACAGGAACAGAGGCCATGATTGTATGCCTGCGCGCCTGGGCCATGCCTTGCACGCCTTGCATGCCTGAGATTTGTAATGCATGCCTCAAGAGTCAAGACCCTATTGCGCATCTGAGGAAGGCTAGTGGATGCCCTGTTCACGCCCGAGATCTCATCGAAACCTGCCACGTTTTGCAGTGTGGCCCAACACCCTATGCTCAAAATCAAAATTGAATAAAAACCACACCATACTGTCACAAACCATAGTTATATCAACATAGAAAATTGTTTATATGATCATTTACTTTAAAAAAAAAACAGTTACACTACAAGCCTGAATGCCCAAGCCTAACCTAACCTGACCAAACCTTACCTAACGT